CAACAGACCGAGGAGTTTCTCGGCAATCAGGACCTGGTCTCGCTCGCCCAGGAGCGCTTACACTCACGCTTGCAGGCAAGCAGAGCTGTGGCCCGTGCCACACGGGGAAGCTGCTTCTCAGAGCCCACCCACATTACCGACGAACAACTGTTTACCAGGAACAAGACTGAACGCAGCATGCGGTGGCCTGAGGAGGACAGGGAGTCACCAGTGTAAACGGTACAATCACGCAACGTGCCTACATAGCTCACGAGCACATTTAGGGAAGAGTACCTGCTCACTCGGACACGTGATCAACATCCTTAGGTTTGGTCCTGTCAACTACGTACTAGAATCTGCCCCTATTTGTTCTCCTTTTCCACGTTTTGGTCCAGGTATGCTATACATATGGCATTCCTTGAAGTCTCAGTCTAGCTTTTTTTTTAAAAAAAAAATACAATTTTTCTCCTTAACATTCTTTTTTAAAACAGTTATGGCAACTGTCTCAACCCATCTGGTTAAGGCCAAGCATGACCTTAAGTTCGGAGCTCATAGCTCACCTTGCTGCGTGGCACGATGCTAGTCAACCTCTCTAAGCCTTAGGCTTGGTTACCAGTAAAAAGAGAGTTTATTTGAAAATAGCATGATGAGACAGTGGTCCTATCAGCTCTACTTGCTTACATAATGTAGGTGAAAATGATTTTGAAATGGTTAGATGCATATAGACATCGGTCATGGTGATTACTGTGGATATTGGTCTATCAGTGTCGGTTTCATTAGAGGTTCCACAGGCAGCTCGAGGTGCTATTACAGGTAAGTGCTAGACCACCTTTATTCATGTTATATGCCCATAAGTCCTAGCGCTGACAGACAAGCATTTGCTGTGTCGCTATTACGTTATTTTGCCTCTTACCTTTGCCAACATGATTCTTGTCTTTGCCACATCCAGAGGCGTGGTCACTGCAGCTGCAAATCCACCTGTGCATATGAGAATACCCAGCACGCAAGTGAGACACCATTTACTGTGCATGGTAATTTTATCATTTGCATTTTATCATTCCTTATAACTTCGCCAAAATCTCTTCTTTGTCATTATGTCTACTTGACTGGTTCGAGAACGGGATGCACACCCACAGTCTTTATCCACACGCTTCATTGCTTCTGCAGGTGCAGAACTGCATATAAAAGAAATATAAGAAAATGCTTTTCCCACTCAGGTGAAAGAAAATAAGGCCCCACAACACACGTATCTTGCTCTTTCATGGACTAGCAAACCAATCTGGGTGTGCATGTAAGTGTACGTACATGACGTGTGTGTGGCCAGACACCCACTCTCAACATGAGAGGCAGCCGCTCCAGATGCTTCTGCGGCCCATGCCTTTCTCAGGGCCACTGTTCCTTAAACACTTCCATCGTGTCTGCTCTATGTATAGCAAAACGGATGGAGTCACGTGTATTGCTCTAGGAATTTTTGGTATAAATGGTTGGATTGTTCGGGTTAAGAGTAAAGCTCTCTGTATTTCACAGGCTCTGATTAGAGACGCCGGTGGCAGTGCCTGTATTTGTCACCTCTCTTCATCTGTTTAGAGTCAGTCTTGTGTCAACAGGCATCACACCTTACAGCTTCCTTCCCACCTCCTCTCATGTTCTCATCATCTAAATACCATGATGGCCAAACTGCCCACAGATTTTATAAGGGTTTGTACCTGTGAAAAGAGGAATTAAAGGACTTTTGCTTGTGAGCATAAACCACAGTTGATGGTGTCAATATTTTATTTACTACGGTACAAAGATATATTTTAAACCCCAAGAGGCCCTAAGGAGATAGAAATAATAAATCCTAAAGGGCTTTCAAAAGGTTCAGCTTCCATGAGCTGGGGGGAAGAGGCAGTTCTGCAAGGGCTGGAACACACGGGTGTGAGGGATGCTCCAGAAATAGCACTACTCTCCTCCTCGCTCCTGTGGCGTGTGGACAGGAAGGTCATTTGATATCTGCCAGATCTCCTTCTAAATATGTTCCCGAGATAAGATTATTACACGGAACTTCCTCCATATGTTAACATTTGTTACGACACTGACTTTCTGGAAAGTATACCTACTTACGCTATTTCACGTTTCAGTTTTGGTTACTCATGAGTGTCACATACCTTAGGGCTAAGGGGGTAGC